ACAAAGCGCTGACGCTTTCTACATGATTAGAGATTTCAGTTTCTGTTTCGAGCCTCAATCTTTTCTCTTCTTGGAGCAACGTTTCCAGCTGCTGGATGTCATGTTGAAGTTTTTTCTGTTCGTTCCCCTTGGATGTGCTCTAAGTTTCTTTTAGTTTCCGTTTTTCTGCCTGGAGCCCTACTTTCCTCTTTTGCTTGAAGCTGTTCTTCCAGTTGATGAATCTCCAGGTTAAACTTTTGGATGTAATCTTGATGGTATTAGTGATCATCCCTGATCTCTAGTTTCCTGAGAAGGGTCTGGCTTTTCTCCACAGCCTTCAGCCTTTCTGCCTCACTTCTCTCCAAAGAGGCTCGTACCCTTATGACTTCTTGATTAAGTTCTTGACACAAAGCGCTGACGCTTTCTACATGATTAGAGATTTCAGTTTCTGCTTGGAGCCTCAATCTTTTCTCTTCTTGGAGCAACGTTTCCAGCTGCTGGATGTCATGTTGAAGTTTTTTCTGTTCGTCCTCCTTGGATTTGCTCTGAGTTTCTTTTAGTTTCCATTTTTCTGCCTGGAGCCCTACTTTGCTCTTTTTTTTAAGCTCTTCTTCCAGTTGTTGAATGTCCAGGTTCATTATGTCCAGGTCACCCAGTTTCACAGAAGCTGAACCCTCCTGAAATCTTTTCTCTATATCTTTTAGTTTGTTGAAGAGTATCTGTATGATCGCTGTAGCCTCCTGTTTTTCTGCCTCTACTTGGATTCGAAGATCTTGCTCTATCTTAATATTTTTGTCCGTTTCTTCGAACAAAGCCTCTAACTGTTCAAAGGTTGTAGTCTCTGCGTTCAACCTCAGCTCTCTTTCTTTTTCTAGCTTTTCTTGCAGCTCTCTGATGGTATTATGCATCTCACGTCTCTCTGAAAACCCTTTGGACATCTCCAATTTTTGGAGTTTGTCGGAAAGTGCCTGTGTGATCTCCAGAGCTTCCAGTTTTTTATATTCACTTTCAAATCTGAGGTGCTTTTCTTTTTGAAGCTCTGTCTCAGCTTTCTCCAACCTCAGTTCAGCCAAACGCATTTCAAACTCGTATTTAATGTTGAGGTGGAAAATTTGGTCTTCATATTTCATTTGTAAGTTAATGAGTTCCTTCTGGTGTTTCTCTTTTGTGTGGCAGCAGGTTGACCTCATCTGCGCTTGTATTTTGTCTTCAGCTTGCTGAAGTTTGTCCTTCAGCTCCATAATTTCCTGCTGCAAAGCCTCATTTTCTTGGCTCAGGACCTTGTTAAACCTTTGGAAGACGTTAGAAGGTTGATTGGCTCCAATATTCTCCATTGTCTTTTTTTTAACAAGGTGCTGCTAAGTGAAACTGTTCTCTCAAGAATGTGTCTGGACTGTGCACTAGACTAGGCTTCTAGAATTATTTATAGAATTTTAGACTGATGATGTCATATCTATCACCATGGAAACAGTCACTGATCCCAGATCAGCCTTTCCACTGAATGGAACTTTGGTCACCTGACTGCAAGATAGCTAAAGATACAGGTGGATAAGACTGAGCAGATGGCATAGAACAAAGGTTCCACTTTTATATGGGACTAAGGACAACTTTAGCAGAGCTATTGGTTTTGATTGAACATAATAAAAAACTAATCCACTTCTATTATAAAGCAAAGTGACTGATGATGATATAGAAAAAAATATTCAAACATGAAAAGCATTTTAAATTGACAAACAAGTTATAGCAACACAATATTTTTAATATCCACAAAAGAATAAATAATCAAGTGGGAATGCATAAGTTTTCAACCAATTTCAACAATTATTGTATCAAAATGCTCAGCTTGTTCAGGAGAATGCTGCTATGTCTTTTGGTAAAGATATATATATATTTTTTTCCGATATTCAGCTTTTTCTGTGTTTTTTTTTTTTTTTTGTCCCATTGAAATGCATTAAGAATTCTTAGATTTTAGCTAAATTCAGATAAAACTTCACCATCTTTGACCTTTAACTACTTCAGCATACTTTCAGCTAGAAACACCATTCAACTTTTAAAATGTTTCCGGATCTTTCTGCTATTACTGTTTAACTCAGCTTTTTGCCAACTTTTACAGGTTTGCTTCAATGAAGCTTCAAACGTTTAAAGAATTTTTACAGATTTTCACATTTATAATGGAAGTCTACGGACGGAATGTTCAGCTTCTAGAGTGTGGTCACTCTAGGGTTTTCAAACATTTCACTCATGCCAAACAGCTTCAACTCACTCACTCATTTTTCACTCTATGTAGAAAAATTATACATCAAAACATAAGTATTTTGGTCAGGACTCAGGAAATGTAATCCTCATTTGTGTGGGATTTACAGTTTTCCTACAGTTTGCCGTAGACCACGAATAAGTCCCCACTTCCCCAATAGAAATCCAATGAGAGACTTTCCAAAAATCACAGACAAAAATCCAAAACGACACATATTTTCGTATCGCTGCCATTGCTAAACTGTTTGATGTACAAACATGAAACTTGGTGTAGAACATCTTCAGACTCTACTTGCACTTACATTGAAGGATTTTTTTCAATATCATTTATATCTTAGCTGTTTAGTTGACTTTTTCAGGTATACAAAAACGTTGATGGTGAGAAAAATCCTCAGACTAGGAAAAAACACATTTTTACATCGTCACCATGGCCAAATAGTCTTTAGTAGGAACATGACATTTGGCACAATCGAAGCCGAGGGATAGCTGACACCCATAGTAAAAGAAGTTTTTGAATACCCTATACACCTTTGGCTCACCACTTGTTTGTGGGGGTTTTTCAGCACCTGGAAGCTCAGTGAACCTGAGGTGCGCATGTAATCCAATCAGACGAGAAGGTGGGACAAACCATTTTGTTTCTCTTCCCATTAGGGTTTTGAAAGAGCTACAGACATGAATGTTATCCCAATCGGACACAAGGGATAGCTGTCACTTAGACGGAAAAAATTTTTTGGAAACCATTTACGGTTTTGGCTCACCACTGGTTTGTTTGGAGGGTTGGTTTGGCTTTTGAGAGCTCAGTTCTAACAAGAATCTACATATTATTGAGAGGAGCAGGTGTGACACACCTTTTTATTTCTCCTTCCCATTAAAGTTGTGAATGAGCGAGATCCATGAAAGTTACTGCTGTTGGAGACAAGGGATAGCTGTTGCTTAGATTGAAAGAATTTTTTAGATACCATTTACGGTTTGCCTTCAGCACTCATTTGTTCAGAGCTGTTTTTCCCATTCAAAAAAGCCTGAGAGCGAAGGAACAATAGTACTGCGCTTTTCTCTCTGTCACTGACAGGCTCTTTAAGCATCCTCAAGGTAACCGAGCTTCAAAGGGAATGCCTACCTCTGCCACTTTATACAGCACATATTAATTTAATGGAGGGAGACAACACTGATTTAACATTTGGAAAAGGATGCTATATGACTACTGGCATGACCCTTCCCTTGACACTCAACCCTGATAGACTTTCAAAATAAGACTCCACGGACCCTACAAAATAAAAGCCTCTACATTACACTCATATATTTGTTGCAGCATATGGCTCAACATTATGCCACAAACTCAGCCCCTTTTTAGAAATTAGACCTTAGGGGGCTTTTCAAAATAAACCCCACAGAAAATTTCAAAATAAAAGCCTCCCATTGCCAGGGAGGCAATGGGGAAAAGAGTGATTTAATGACTGGAAAGTCATCAAGTATCATTGCTGGGTCTGACCTTTTTCTCAACACACAACCCTGCTAGACTCTCAAAATAAGACTACAGGTACCCTACAAAATAAAAGGCTCTATATTATACTGGTGTATTAATTGATGCAAATGGCTCAGCATTGTGACTCGAACTCCACCAACTAGTTTCTATTAGACTCTAGGGACCTTTTCAAAACACACCCCAGAGCAAATTTCACGATAAAAGTCTCCCATTTACGCTCTAATACAGCATCTATTTACCAAATTACATGGAAAACCAGTGATTTCACATTTAGAAATTGATTCTTTATCACTGCTGGGCATGACCCTTCCCTTGACGCAAAGCCATGGTAGACTTTCAAAATAAGACTATGGGGACTGATAAAATAAAAGCCTCTTCCTTATGCACACTCATTTATTGTGCCGTATGGTTCATAGCTATGACCCGAACTCAACCAATTTCTTCAAATTACACTACCAAGGCCTGTTGACAACACACCTAAGTGCACATTTCTTAATGAAGCTCTAACGTTTCCACTGTAATAAAGCATCTGCTAACATCGTAAGCAGATGCTTTACTTCTGTCAACTTCCAGGTAAACAGATACTTTTGGACTTTTTCTTCTGGTTAATCAACTTTAAATGTTTTGCTTTTAAGATGAGTGTGTTTCTGCCATTATTTTGCCAAATGATTCTATCCTACAAAATCTTCAGATGATTCTACTGGTTTCTGCTGTTTAAAGTTTCTGATTACTTCCTATCACATTTTGATATGTTCTTCAGCTAATTTGTACCTCTTTTACGTTATACAGTTTCTTTAGCTAATTTTTCTTTTTTCATTCAGCATAAAAAAGCATTCCCACTTTGCTGTTTCTCAGAAACAGCTTTTTCTAGTTCAACTTAAGTTTTTTTAATTTATTTGAGTGTGAATGACTAAAATAATTACAGGATTTAAGCAGTAGGCCTATATGATTTTATTTGATGAAAAGTCTTCAACATGATCTACTGAGAGGAAGTCGGGATTACAGCTCATTTCAAAAGTGACCCTTTTTCGATCAACTGTTATTATTATTATAATTGAAAACTCATCTGAGGGATCTATGAGGGAAGTTTCTTTGTTTTCCCGTTTGCCAAGGAATTGTTAGTGATAGGCATGTTTCTTTTTTGTTTCTTTTTTCAAATTGTCTGATGCGGTATGCCTACAATTTTACTATAACTAAAATAGTTAAGGTTTTCGCCACCTGCGAGGCTTAGACGTCACGGTTCGTGCGCTCTAGTCACGTGGGCCAGTTAACCAATAGAAGAAGAGTATCCAGGCGCGCGCAACTTGTGTCAGGAAGAGATTGTTTTGTAGCTTTGCTGTAGTTGTTTCGTATCTCATGTTTTGAAACATTTGGGAGGAGAAGAAAAGGATTCTGAGAAAATGTCTGTTGGGCTCGAGACCACGAACATATTAGTCCTCGGGAAGGCGGACAATTTGCATCAACAGGGTGAGAAAGGCTGTACTTTTGTTGATTGATTTGAAAATGCATGTCATAATATCCAACAATTACCTAAGTGGTCAACATTTAACTTGTTTCCAAAGGTGAAATCAAATAACACAAAATGCCTGTTATTTTTTTGCAGTAATTATATGAAGTTGAATTTTAAAATCCCATTGTGTCCACGCAGTTCTCGCCTCCTTCCCGCTGTGTGACGCGACAGAGGAAGATTTGACCCAGAATCCTCACTTCAGTAAACTCCTGGCCACATTGTCTCAACATGTGGACAAAAGTGGACTCACTGTCTCACTTAAAACAGAGCTGGATGTGGTAAGTTAAGCAGGGGCTTCTAATTTCGGTTGCAACTAGATCCGTAAATGTGCCATTCAGGGTTAATGAGGAATCTTGATGCGTTTCAACACTTTGCCAAACTGTATTGATGCTGCGTTGAAACTTCCTCAGTATGGCAAGCCGTTTTAACAGAAATTCGGTTATAACACCTTTACATTCAAGATATCTCAACTTGTTTTATGACAAGACATTTTAGCAATTTCAGACATCTCTAATTATATTTTGACTAGTCAAAATACCTATTCGAGATATCTCAGATTTACCATTAACTTTTATGGAGACGACAATTTAGGATATCGAGAATGAATTACTATCTGAAATACACATTTTAGATATCTATGATTAAATTACGACTAGTTATAAAGTAATTTCAAGATATCTCCACTGATTTTAGTTTTGACTAGTCATAATTCTAATTAAAGATATCTCAAATGCCACCATAATTCATGATATCTTAAATATATTTTAGGATAGGAGATGTGCAGTTTTGACTAGTGAAAACTCAATTATAGATTTCTTAAAAGCAAATAATGACTAGACAAAACAAATTTAAAGATATCTTGAATTGTAATTTCGACTATTCGAAATTCTTTTTAAGATATCTCTAAATGAATTAAAGATATCTTGAATTATTCAGCTTTTCCATTAAAGATATCTTAAATTGACATTCTGACTTTTTATGGGCTTCCAGGAGGATCATTCCTAAAAAATTCCTTACTTTCAGTTTAACTCACAGGAGGAACAGTTAAATCAGCTCAATTTACTGTTATTTATTAGTGGCCCTACATATGAATTACCGATGTGTGACGCTTTAAATGATGAATCCGGTGTCGTGATTTGAGACATCATGAAAGAAATTTTGACTAGTCAAAATTTAATTTAAGATATCTTGAATTATTGTTCTTCCTAATCAGAATGTAAGTACAGATATCTTAAATTACCATTCCAGATAGTCAAAATGTGGTTTTGTCTAGTCAAAATGTATTTTAAGAATGTAATTTTGGATGGTCAGACCAAACCGAATTTATGTTAAATCTGCTTGCCACAGTCTTACAGAATACTGACACCTGCTGGACCTTTAAAGACACTACCAGCAGCTTGTTTGACTGACTAAACAGAATTGATTTGATGACCAAGTACAGTTTGATGAGAACTACGCAATACTAGGCAGTTACCATAACACTCTGTATACATGTGTGGTTAATACAACTATTCCTTATTTGTACACATTAATTATGCTTTTGATAAAAATCCTTTGGCTAAAATGCCATCAGAATGCTTATAATGTCAGTCCATTTGCAGCACATGTTCAGAAAGCTACAAGCAGACAGCAGCAAACTATTTGAAAACAAACGAAGCAAAGAGCAGTGTTGCGAATTTAGTGCTGAAGGCGCCTGGTGCAAAATCTAGCAACTTTTTTCTGCTACTGAAGCCTTGGGTGACGACATATAAAAGCAGCAAACTCTGCCCTCCAGAGCAAGTAGACTGCTCTCATCTATCTTGTCTGCTGTCATGATTCATGCAGCTATTATTTCATCCAAATGAAAAATGGAGAACAGATAAGCAGATCATGGCTTGTCTACAGAGAAAAGAAGGACTGTTATTTACTTTGGCCGTCGCCTTTTTGGAAACACAGGAAGGAGCAATCAGCTAAGTGAGTTTAGTAGCAGACTGTAAAACATTGAGCTCTACTGGCTGACAGAAATATCTTCAATTTGGTTTCATATTTAGTTTAATTTTTTAATGTTCAGATGGTGTCTGTTTGTCTCAAGGCCGAGGAGAAACTGCAGAACCAGAAACGCCAGTGGCTCCGCTCTGAGAGTCTCCACAGAGGATTGCATGAGATGATCCAGGAATTTCATGTCAGGAAACAGAACACTACCATTCCTCCTGATCAGAACATGGTATGTTCCACAAAACTATCTGCATTGGTCACTGCTTTTTGCTGTTGTTTTTTTGCTTATTATTAACATAAATATTGTGCTTCGAATATCTAGCATTGCTTCACCTAAATGCCATTTGTGTTGGATTATACTTGTATAAACTGATCAACAATCTCATCTGCAGTTCTATGAAACGATGGAGAGGTCTCTCCGTGTGACTCAGTGTGTCAGACAGCTGGATCCCAGCAGCACTACAAGGCAGGAGCAGCCATCTGTACTAGGGCTAACGCCACAACAAGTCACTCAACTCCTGCCCTCAGAAAAGGTACGCTGTTAAAAAGGAAAAAATATCATTTATTAGGTTTTTTTTCTCATATATCAAACGAACCTCCATGTTCCAGGTTTATATTGTTTCTATATGTCTACCTGAACTTTATCTTCCACAGAACATGCAGCGAATGAAACAGGCTCTTCCCAGACAATTAGAGAAACACCTGAAGGAAAAATGTCTGAGGCTCCTCTCATACTATCAGCCTGAATGGGGTAGCTATCCAAAGCTAATGATGCCAATCCATCGGTTTTTCTCAGGCATTGTTGGGCCACTTTATCTTCCATTTTGTTTCTCATTGTTTGTAGAGAATGACAGCGAGGCTTTAAAGACCAACAAGCTGTCTCATCTGTCCACCCTGCTGGACAAAGAAAAGAAAAGAACCGAGCTCCTGAGGGAGATATGTAGAGAAAACACAGTTCTTTTGCAAAGACAAACCCAGCTCTACCTCTCTGTAAGTAACCCTATGACTGTAAATCACTCTATGCTTTAAAAATGACATTCAGTTTATTTCTATAGCGCCAATTCACAACACATGTCATCTCAAGGCACTTTACAGTTCAACCAGATCATACAGTCAAATTGATTCAAAGTTTTCTATCTTAGGAAAACCAGTGGATTGCATCGACTCATTGTCTCTAAGGCAATCCCTCACACTAAGCATGCTTGTAGCGACAGTGGAGAGGAAAAAAATCCCTTTTAACAGAAAGGAACCTCCAGCAGAACCAGGCTTAGTGTGAGCGGCCATCTGCATTATCTCCAAAGATCAGTTCTGTTACTGTAGGTTCTGAATTCCAAGCAGAAAACCTGACGAGATATTCCGTGTTCCCGGAAACTTTTGAGGAGCCTTATGGTGGATTTGATCTGAGCATGCGTGGGTTCTCTCAGGGTACTCCGGGTTCCTCCCACAGTCCAAAAACATGACTGTCAGGTTAATTGGCTTCTCTAAAGTCCCGTTAGGTGTGAGTGTGTGTGTGAATGGTTGTTTGTCCTGTTTGTCTCTGTGTTGCCCTGCGATGGACTGGCGACCTGTCCACGGTGTACCCCGCCTCTCGCCCATTGACAGCTGGAGATAGGCACCAGCACCCCTCGCGACCCCACTCGGGACTAAGAGTGTTAGAAAATGAATGGATGGAGTTTTATGGTTAACCTCCCAGCCCGAAAAACAAACAGCCATGTTTTGAGATATTCACTGTTGGCAGCACCAGAGATAAGTGTTGGAGAACCTGTCTTCCTGATGTCCAAATGATGTCCGCAGACAGAGTCCACCCCTCAATCAAATGTTCAGATCCTCAGTTTCCATCAGCTCTGTGGTGAAGGAGCATAAGAATGTAAATAAAGCTTAAGAATCTGCTTCCCCTGATCAGACTGTGACGTACCTGTGACAATTTCCTTCTTGGCTTCTAACAATCGTGTTTTTATTTTTATTTTATTTTTTTAATCTTTTTCCAAACTAGGAGCTACTTAAATGCGTTCAGCTTCTCCAGACACTCATCTTGGATCATAGACTGAAGATCCAGACAGACCTGGACAGCAAAAAACTGGATTACTTTGAAGGCAAATGTGAATTGGTCCTACAGAAAATAAAGTAAGGCAGCTTCAGTTGCTTACTGTTTTTTTTTTTTTTTTTCATAGAATGCTTTGCTAAAGTATTCCCTCCCTTGATTTATTTTTTCGCTGTTTGTTACCTTCTGATTTTAATTTTTACTTGTTTTAATGAAGTGATTTGTTAAAATCATCTTAAGTGGTTGTGGGGAAATTAGAAAAATACGTAAAAAAAACACCAGCCTAGAAATTGTCAGAGATTATGTCTGTGCAATCATGGACACACTTTTTCTGATAGGACTCAGAGGCCACAACACCACCAAGCAAGATATATAAGAAGCCATGAAGATCCAGGAGCTCTAGTAATTAGTCAAGTTAAGACGTTTAAGTCGGGGTTTGATTATAAAACTGAGAATGGAAATGGCTACCAAAGCTTACAGACCATGCAAGCAAGGACAAATTCATCAGAGGCGACACCTAAACTAGAGGTCAATAGAACTAGACCTTTATCAAAGACTGGTGTTGAAAATAAGAAGTTTTTCAAGTTTATCAAAAGGCATGTAGCGAACTCCCTAGCAGAGTGGTGGCAGCATTATGCTGTGGGGAGGTTATTCCACAGCAGGTACAGGGAGCCTGTCCCAGGTGTGTTATAGAGATGCTGGAAAGGACGAGGTCAAGGTGTAGTGGGGGGATGAGAATGACCCAAATGACGCTGCCAAAGCATCGCTTTAGCAAAAAATATTTGAATACATGAAATTTTTCCTCTTTGGCCTCTGATTCATAATCTTTAAAATAGGGCTGGGCGATAATTCAATAACGATATATATTGATCGATAGACGTGTGGCGCAATAGAAAAAAATAGGCTCGATAAAAGTTCGATAAAAAAGAAACGCAGTTTTCCTTCCTTCTCATTGTAGCCTAGCATGTAGGTTTATGCTAGCCACTGCTTCCTCCCAACCAATCACAATCGCGGACCCAGGCACGCCGTCACCAAGCGCCGCCCTCTCAAACCACAACACAGAGCACATGAAGATGCAGCAAGGAGAGGTGGAGGAAATTGTTTCAAAGAAGGGTTTTTGTAGTTCGGCAGTCTGGCAGTATTTCGGTCATGGCAAGTCGGACCAAAAACAAACCACAGTCATCTGGAAAATGTGTCGGGAACCAGTGAAAACAAAGTCTTTGTTATATTTATTTTGGTCACTTTTCTGGTCACTTTAGTTTATTCTTTGTCAGTATTTAATAAGATAACTCAGGTCTCTTAAGTTATTTTTCTTTGAAACAATTCTGTTATGGTTAAAAAAGTTGGTTAAATAAAGATTTAATTCGAAGTCTGTGTTTGTGATTTTGTATTAAAATTAAATCATTTAGCAATATTATAAAAAGTCCAGGCAGAGCTGCACATAAAATATGGTTTCAAATCTTTTCAATAATTATCGATATCGATCAATATGCATTTTTTTTTATCGATAAGCTTTTTTTCTATATCGCCCAGCCCTACTTTAAAATGTCCGTCCAGAATCATCCCACATTATAAACTGTCTTGCTCTTTTATCAATTCTGAGAGGTCAAAGTGTTTTTACACTACAATCATTCTCCCATTTATACACTGACAGTACATTGTAGCTGGCAGTATATAGTCAGCACCACTGTCGTCCTGGATGTCACTCCTACATGTTTTGCATCAAGTAATTTTCTTTCAACTGAAGCTGCTAAATCCTATTTTTTTCCCCATGATTTTATCCCATGTAACATATTGTCTAAGTTGGTCCAAAACTCACTCTACTGCAATAAAACCATTAGAAACATTATATAAACAAGCATTAAAAATACTGGATAAAAAAACCATACCATTACCACCACTGTAGTATACTGAGGAAATATCAGTTACTTACCTGGAACAATCTTATCAAGTTCAAAAACATCTGTATGATTTATAAAATCAGACATGGTTTAGCACCACCCCCACTATGTGACTTTGTACAGTTCAGATCCAGTGAGGTCAGGGTAACCAGAGGGGCAGTGAGGGAAGACAGCATCATCCCCCGGAGAAAAACAGCCTTTGGTCAGGCTGTCTTCTCCATAAGTGCATCTCAGCAATGGAACACAGTGCCAGAAACCATCAGAGACTCTTTGTCATTCTCTTCATTCAAAAAGAATGCAAAAAAAATGGCTTGTAGAGAGCCAAATTTGTGGGCACTAAGGTTTTCTGTGTGTATTTAAATAATTTTACAATTCATTTTTAATTATTTTACATTCATTGTATTTCTTAACCATAATGTTTTTTATGTAATTGGTATTGTAATTTTATCTTGTGATTTTATACTTGTGTTTATTTTTAAGGTTGCCTTTTTTATATCTGGCTGGGGGACTACCGATGAAAATTAGCACTCCTTAGCTAACTCGGGTATATTTACATTGTTTTAATGTTGATTAATGTACACTGTCCCCTTTCAAATAAACAATAAAATAATAGACGAATATCCCAGCAGCAGGATGTGGAATCCTCTCAGACTTTCTCAAAAATACGGGCGATTGCTGCAAAATGGTTCTGACTCTAGGGGGGTGAACAGTTATGCATAAGGAAGTTTGTTAATATTTGTTCCTATGTTTTTTGGTTGTGTCACAATAAATAATGAAAATAAAATCTTAAAATTTGAAGGGATGCTTTGTAAATTAAGGTGAATGCTTTAGTGGATTACTGCAAGTTAAGACTTTTTTCCCCATTTAATTTATCAGTAGACTGCATGGATATTGGAGTGCAATATTTAGATGCCTCAAATAGATACTTGAAAGTTGCAGAACGCAGAATGAACTGAGACATTTTTAACTGCAGCTGCTGGATGATAACCTGCATAGTTAGGATCACATAAAACAGATGTGGAAAGAAGTTTATGTTCAGAACTACCAGGTGGATTATTGAAGGATCACAACCTATGTTTTGGAAAGATGTGATTGACATCCTGGTGTCAGGCTCTAATCTTCTTCTTCTTTTGAAGAACCGAGATGGTGGAAATTCAGCTGGAAACCTACTCCCCCGACACAATTTCTGCTCACCGGAAAATAAGGTAGGAGGAAGTTTGTGTTGTCTAATAACCAAATATTCACTTTTTAGGCTTTTGATCTGGCATAACTTAATGTTTCACTTAATTTGGTTTACCGTTGCAGGGAGAAGCTGGAGGGTGAGCTGAAGGCTTGCAAAGCAGAGAAGCAGGCTGTGGAGTCAAATCTGTCGTCCTTTGAGATTTTGGGCAAAGCGTTTGAGGCTCTGGCTGAGGAGTATTGCAAACTACGGCAGGAGATAGACATGAAAAACTGGGCTCTGAAAGAACTGACTAAATACAACGAAAAATGACTCCATGCCTGAAGTGGAACCAAAAGCAATATTGTTTAATTGAGCAGATCTATGAAATGACAAGTCTACTTTTGCTACATAAAATGCTTTGTACCTTCGGTTCAAAGGAAGTGTATCTCATTGAATTTTAAAGCTGAGTGCTTCTCGTAAAGCATCTTACTTCAGATCCTCTAATAAATATTCAACAAGTAAGAAGAGAATGTTCTGTATCTCACTTATTTCAATCTGCATAACTATTCTGATCCTATATCATAGATTGTAAAGTTCAAACTTCTACTGAGTGATGTTTTTTCTTCCTGTGCTGAGTGTATACTTCTTTTTTGCCCGTTTTGTAAAATAAAATCTGAAGTGCATTTTAGGAAACCTCGAAGCATGTTTATGAGGATTACTACTTTAAACCTTCACCTCACTTATAGTATATCATAACAGACTTTAGCAGAAAACATGAAAATGTATCTTTGATCATGACTTGTTCTGCTAACAAATAGCATCCTGGCATATTCAAGCTGATTATTGTTACTTTATTTAAAGATGGTGGTTTTTCTTTTCTAGACATTTACAGGTGCTGGTCATAAAATTAGAATATCATGAAAAAGTAGATTGATTTCAGTAATTCCATTTAAAAAGTGAAACTTGTATATTATATTCATACATTACATACAAACTCATATATTTCAGATGTTTATTTTGTTTAATTTTGATGATTACAAATGACAACAAATGAAAATCTCAAATTCATCATATCAGAAAATTAGAATATTGTGAAAAGGTTCAAAATTGATGGCCCCTGGTGCCACACTCTAATCAGCTAATTAACTCAAACCACCTGCAAAAGCCTTTAAATGGTCTTTCAGTCTAGTTCTATAGGCTACACAATCATGGGGAAGACTGCTGACTTGACAGTTGTCCAAAAGACGACCATCGACACCTTGCACAAGGAGGGCAAGACACAAAAGGTCATCGCTAAAGAGGCTGGCTGTTCACAGAGCTCAGTGTCCAAGCACATTAATAGAGAGGCGAAGGGAAGGAAAAGATGTGGTCGAAAAAAGTGTACAAGCAAGAGAGATAACCGCACCCTGGAGAGGATTGTGAAACAAAACCCATTCAAAAATGTGGGGGAGATTCACAAAGAGTGGACTGCAGCTGGAGTGAGTGCTTCAAGAACCACCACACACAGACGTATGAAAGACATGGGTTTCTGCTGTCGCATTCCTTGTGTCAAGCCACTCTTGAACCACAGACAGCGTCAGAAGCGTCTTGCCTGGGCTAAAGAGAAACAGGACTGGACTGCTGGTGAGTGGTCCAAAGTCATGTTCTCTGATGAAAGTAAATTTTGCATTTCCTTTGGAAATCAAGGTCCCAGAGTCTGGAGGAAAAGAAGAGAGGCACTTCATCCACGTTGCTTGAAGTCCAGTGTAAAGTTTCCACAGTCAGTGATGGTTTGGGGTGCCATGTCATCTGCTGGTGTTGGTCCATTGTGTTTTCTGAGGTCCAGGGTCAACGCAGCCACATACCAGGAAGTTTTAGAGCACTTCATGCTTCCTGCAGCTGACCAACTTTTTGGAGATGCAGATTTCATTTTCCAACAGGACTTGGCACCTGCACACAGTGCCAAAGCTACCAGTACCTGGTTGAAGGACCATGGTATCCCTGTTCTTAATTGGCCAGCAAACTCTCCTGACCTTAACCCCATAGAAAATCTATGGGGTATTGTGAAGAAGAAGATGCAATACACCAGACCCAACAATTCAGAAGAGCTAAAAGCCACTATTAGAGCAACCTGGGCTATCATAACACCTGAGCAGTGCCACAGACTGATCGACTCCATGCCACGCCTCATTGCTGCAGTAATACAGGCCAAAGGAGGCCCAACTAAATACTGAGTGCTGTACATGCTCATACTTTTCATGTTCATACTTTTCAGTTGGCCAACATTTCTATAAATCCTTTGTTTTTATTGGTCTTCAGTAATATTCTAATTTTCTGATATGATGAATTTGAGATTTTCATTTGTTGTCATTTGTAATCATCAAAATTAAACAAAATAAACATCTGAAATATATGAGTTTGTATGTAATGTATGAATATAATATACAAGTTTCACTTTTTAAATGGAATTACTGAAATCAATCTACTTTTTCATGATATTCTAATTTTATGACCAGCACCTGTATATAAAGACTGTCTTTGTAAAGTAAGGCACAATTGTTAAATAAAAACTGTCAGTGAGCCCCAGGGCAGCTGTGGTTATAATGTAGTTTGCCACCATCAGTTTGGGATTGTGTGCGTGATTGAATGTGGTGTGAAACATACAGGTCCTTCTCAAAATATTAGCATATTGTGATAAAGTTCATTATTTTCCATAATGTTATTATAAAACTTGAACATAACATTCAGGTTTTTTTTAGATTCATTGCACACTAACTGAAATATTTCAGGTCTTTTATTGTCTTAATACGGATGATTTTGGCATAAAGCTCACGAAAACCCAACATTTCTATCTCACAAAATTTGCATATTTCATCCGACCAATAAAAGAAAAGTGTTCTTTATAAAAAAAAAAAAATTCGAACTTCAAATAATTATGTAATAATTATGCACTCAAACGGGAATCCTTTTTGCAGAAATGACTGCTTCAATGCGGCGTGGCATTGAGGCAATCAGCTTGTAGCACTGCTGAGGTGTCATGAAGGCCCAGGATGCTTTGTTAGCATTTAGCCTTTAGCTCATCCACAGTGTTGGGTCTTGCGTCTCTCAACTTTCTCTTCCCAATATCCTACAGATTCTCTATGGGGTTCAGGTCAGGAGAGTTGGCACAGTGACACCATGGTCAGTATACCATTTACCAGTGGTTTTGGCACTGTGAGCAGGTGCCAAGTCGTGCTGAAAAATAAAATTATCTGCATAAATCTTTTCAGCAGATGGAAGCATGAAGTTCTCCAAAATGATAGCTAGCTGCATTGATCCAGCTCTTGATAAAACACAGTGGACCAAGACCAGCAGCTGACATGGCGCCCCAGACCATCACTGACTGTGGGTACTTAACACTGGTCTTCTGGCATTTTTGCGTTTCCTTCTCCCCAGTCTTCCTCCAGACTCTGGCATCTAATTTCCAAATGACATGGAAAACTGAGAAACAGACCAGTGCTGCTTCTATGTAGCCCAGGTCAGGCACCTCTGCTGCTGTTTCTGGTTAAAAAGTGGCTTGACAAGGGGAATGCGGTACCTGTAACCCATTTCCTGCACACACCTGTGCACAGTGGCTCTGGATGTTTTTTACTCCAGACTTCACTGCTTCTGCAGGTCCCCCAAGGTCTGGAATCGGCCCTTCTCCACAATCTTCCTCAGGGTCCAGTCACCTTTTCTGGTGGTGCAGCGTTTTCTGCCACACTTTTTCCCACCCACAGACTTTCCACTGAGTTTCCTTGATACAGCACTCTGGGAACAGCCTATTCGTTCAGAAATGTCTCTCTGTGTCATACTGTCTTGCTTGAGGGTGTCAATGATGGGCTTTGCAGGTGTTTAGAGTTAATTTGTTGATTCAGATGATAAGGTGCATAGAGACCTTTTTCATGATATGCTCATTTTGTGAGATAGGAGTTTTGGGTTTTCATGAGCTGTATGCCAAAAGTATTAAAACATAAAATACCTGAAATATTTCAGTTAGTGTGTAATGAATCTAAAATATATGAATGTTCAAGTTTTATCATTACATTATGGAAAATAATTAACTTTATCACAATTTGATAATATTTTTAGAAGGAGCTGTATAAGTAACGTATAAAATTATTTACACACTTCCAAAATTTAGTCACATTGCAGCCACAAACACTACTGTTTTGTTGGGATTCCACAATGGTGAAGATTTGAGAAAATCATGTATGATGTCTGTAAGGTTTGCTCATTTTAGTGTCAAAGCAGTAAAAAAAATCTGTGAAATTAGTTGCCTTTAAAAGTCATACAAAGAGTATATTGAGTTCACTTGTGTGAGATTTCCTCCTAATATCAATCTAGTTCCATGAAGGGCTTCAGTGGGGATTGTTATAGAGGAAAACAGCATTATTGTTGCTAATATTTCAAGGACACAGGCATTATGTTTCAGAGAGGGTTCAGTAACAATATTCCAATCATTGAATGTCTTGTCAGTCTGACAAAACACCACAGGAGCTTCAAAATCCACAGCTAACAGTTGTTTTCTCCATGAAACTGGCCTTTATAGTGGATGAGAATGACTTGAAAAGTGCTGTTCAGAGTTTCTTACAGATCGGGGAGGTGGTCAGATTAAATCAAACTTCGACCTACATTCAAAAGCTGAAGTGTGATGAAACCAAAGGTGTAGGTTTGAATTCAACTTTGGTAGGGACACTGTTGGTCTGATGTCATTGGTCCAATGCAAAAAAAATGCATGCTCGTTTTTTTATGCTTGATGTGAAAATCATGGTGTATTTCATTTAAAAAGAAAAGCAGCATTTCTTGCTACATTCATACAAACTTTATAAGCACTACACACACTAGATGCTGTTGACTAAAGCTGAACCGGCTCTGATGAATGAGGAAATAGGACTTTTTTTTCCAGTTTGAAAAGGTTTGCATTTGAAATTACCAGCGACTAAAACAGTAGGTAAATCTGTGCCTATTTAACAGAATATAGCCTATTATGTCTGCTATATGTGGATTTATACTTTCTTTTATTTCGAAGATATAGTATTGTGCAGAGTTAAACAGAGGTAAAGCCCATTCTAATCTTTTAAATGTTATTTTTGTATCATGAAATAAAGCGAAATAATAGATTTAAGGGACGCCAAATAAATGTATTGTATTAACATGATCACTAGAAATAGAATAGGAACTGACACTGAGCATTTAATATACTAACTTCACTCTACAAGTTATACATCTAGGCTGTTGTTACTCTGTTTAACCCATTTCATGTATTTTATTTATGGCTGAAACAATCAATTATTGAAATAATGTCAACAAATTTAGTAATCGATTAATCGTTAACTGGAGTATAAAGACTCCAGAATTTGGAATTATACCAAAATTGTAAAAACAATGCATTTGCATTTTAGATAAAACATGTTTTCGTCTGTCAATATTCTCCATCACACTGCAAAAAATTTATATCTAAATAAGTAATTTTGTCTTAAAATAAGTGCATTTTTCCTTGAATTGATGAGGTAAGTGAGACACTTTGCCAATGGAACAAGACAATTTACATTTGAAATAAGAAAAAACTATTGTGTTGTCTTATTTCAAATGCATATTATCTAATTATCTCGTTTTAACTGTAAAAATACTCATTCCATTGGCAAACTATCTTATTTACCTGCTCAAATTAAGGGTAAATATACTTTATTTAAGAAATTTCATCTTATTTTCAGATTGTTTTTGCAGTGCAGAACTCCTCTAATGCTGCAACAATGATGTATAGTAAATTATAAACATGTTCTTCACATATAATTGTTGGTAGAGACATGTCCCTATGGTCCCTATGCAAACCTACGCCCATGGATGAAACTAAACACATCTTGAATCTACATACCTCACCAAGTAACATGTTGAATGTTGGATGTACACTGTACTCCTTCAACTCCCAGTAAATCCACTGGAACTACCAGCCACTAAAGTGCCCCCCCCCCCCCCCCCCCCCCCCCCCATTCTCCTGAGCATGAATATGTTTTTACTCTGACTCCCTTTATTCTCCCTGAATTACAGGGAGATACGGCTTATCTTTAGATCTTAATGTCCACAAATCATGACAGAATATTTTAGTACAAAGATTGATGTTTAAGAAGGAATTGTAGGGGACCAGCCAAGGAAAGCGGGGACATTTTGAATGGTTGCTAGGCAGAGGTGTAGCTAGAAAATGTTTATAAGGATGGCCAGGCAATAACCAATGTACAGTGAGGGGTGGCTGATAGTGGACAGGCACCAGAACCTCAGCGTCAAACCAAAGATAAGACAAACTGTACTTTCCTACAGCCTTTGCTAACAAATAGACGCAGATATTTAAACATTCTAGATTAAAGGTATAATGGATAAAATTCTTTCAGGTTTGAATTCTGGGCCAAAAGTCTTTTCTATTGTCATTACTGATCTACTTTTATCAATAATCATTCTGCATAAAATTGATATTTACAAGCACTAATATCTACACAATTTAATGTTTTCATGAAAATTATTATTTATCTCTGATTTCACTGAAGACTCCAAGATGACTTGCATTTTCTCGCTACCCCATAAAACACAAGATCTAGTTCTGAAAAGAGCATGAATTCTGTACTTATGAGGTTATTTGAAGCAATCCTTTCAATAACAGAGGGCATAAGAAAGTATAAAAAAAGAAAAAATGCGGTTTTCCCCCCTGTAGTTTGCAGTAATTCCACAAGGGGGCGTTGTGTTACCATTCCTCAGCCCTCACCACTGGTTGAAAAAAAAAATGTAGGAAGCTGTAGTATTTCTAAAATGTCCGTAGTATTTCTAAAATAATTTAAGGTAAATTCTTGTTTATCCCAATTTGACGGACAAAAATAGGTTTAATGTTTCATAATTTCTCTTTTTTTTTGACGATCTTTGGAAACTAACACCACTTTGCCACTGACACCGGAAGTATGCAGTGAATCATCTCGCCCCGTTACGCACTCTCTGCTTTGGCCTCATCATCCCCGCCACCATCATCATCCCCATCAGCAGCAGCAGCAGCCCCGCCTCAGGACGCGAACCGCTGGCTTGTTCCTCCCTGACTCAGACTCTGACTCCTCCACATCTGGCGGGCTGTAAGAAGGTCGCTGATCCATCGCTCCGTTCCCACCGGCGCGGCATGTTCACATCCACGCCGTCTCGTCACAAGAAGAAAAAGAAGCGGATTTTAAGCGGTGCTGCGTAATGTCTGAGGTGCGGAAATTCACAAAGAGGCTGAGCAAGCCGGGGACGGCCGCGGAAGTCAGACAGAGCGTGTCGGAGGCAGTGAGGACTACCGTGGACCCGGTGGTGAGTTCAACACCAGCTGGACTTCTCCTTCCTTCCTTCCTTGCTTCCTTCTTTTTAATGGACTCCTAGTTGTCCTCATTCTTTCCTCTCCGCTGTTTGCTTTGCTCCAGTTTTTGCTCCCTGCCTTAGCGGTGGAATGATCTTTATCAAAGTCAGACTCTTATGCGGTCGCTCTTGAATTTGCTCCAGCTGTAAAACGTGGTGACATTGTCCTTTTGTGAGCTGCTGGATCTAAGCCAATTAGAAACCTGCAGCATGGCTCCTGGTAAATCAGTCTAATGTGTGCAGAGCTGCAAGGTTTGCTTCTGATCCTGCTGAGGCAGCATTTAAATCTGTTTTTATCTATCTGGCAATTTCCATGTGAGCAATTCCTTGTTGTCACATGTGTGTTGACATTTGTTTTAACTGAACCCATCAATTAACCCTTTATATGAAACTCAGTGAAATACTTTAAAATCAACATTTCAAGTCACTAGTATTACTGTAATCCAGGAAATATGGATATTTTGATGGAAAAATATTAATGTCAATGTAATAACAAGAAAAATAAAAGTGCTTGTATAAGAAATTCATGAAAAAAAACAAAAATTTTTTTTTGGTACAACATAACCTTAGAGGTATTAATGCTGATTAATACTGGAACTTACACTTTTTACCTTATAAATCTAAGTATAATTGTTAACTAGGCTTATTAACTTTTTAACTTTACTTTTTAACTTTTCAATTAGCTTTTTACCTTTTTTTTCTAGACTGTTTTTTTTCAACTTCATTTACAGTAGGTAATATCATGCAAGAGCTCATCTAATTGTTCAAATGCCAAAATAAGATGTCCAGCCATGAAGCAGCATCTTTGCTGAATGGCTGGATATAGATCTTGTGCTTCTAGATCTCACTGATGGACGGGGGGTAGTACTCCATTTGTAAGGGGTACGCAGGTGAACAAAAAACGGTATCTTGGCCTATAAAGGGTTGAATCATCCTCTGTCATTATGTGAGACAAAAACTGTCATCCGGACAACTTTTGCTTTCCAATGTTCTTAAAGTACCACTGGTGCTTTTTGGGTTGCCTCAGATGATGTTTTAAGGTTGACACAAAACAAATAGCCTGTACTGCAGCACCAGTAAGCCTAAGCGGTGAGATTGTATCTTTTTTAACCTTAAAACTAACAATATAATGTAAATTTGAGCAGAAATTTTCAGCTCCAAGCTTTAAAGGATCTACGGCACATACAGGCTTTTCAGGGCGAACGGGGTTCACTTTGGCCTCTTTACCTGAACCAGACAAACTGTTAATGATACAGCCATGACCTTTTTTGCTCCAGTACTTGTGTTTTAACTGAACCCATCAGCTAAATCATCCTCTGTCAGAGTGTGAGACAAAAACTGTCATCCTGACAACTTTTACTTTCAGACCCAATGTTCTTAAAATGCTTTTTGATGTGCCTTAGATGATGTTTTAAGATTGACACAAAGCAAATAGCCTCTACTACAGCATCAGCAAGCCTAAGCAGTGAGATTGTAAATGCAAACCAGTCGATTTTAACTTTGAACCAGCAGATTTACCATTAGGCAATACTAGGCAGGGCTTCAATTACCTGGGGGCCCTATAATACTCTGTTTACAAGTATGGTTAATACAACTATTCCTTATTTGTGCACATTAATTATGTTTTTTATAAAAATTATCTTGCTTAAATGCCATCAGAACGCTTAGTATATTAACTGTGTCTCATACAAATGAAAAATGAAGAACAGATAAGCAGATCATGGATTTTCTACAGAAAAAGAAGGACTGGGTTATTTGCATGTTTTCAAAACATTCGTCGGGCTGCTGTATAAAACCTGGAATCAATGCTATTGCTGACATTTTAATTGAAAAGTTTCCTGGATGGGAAGCGAAATGTCTTCAAACTTGGAAACAAAGTCCAGTAGATTGTTTTTTAATTTTCATTTTTTGGAATGACTGTGTTATTTACTTTTGCCATCGCCTTTTTGGAAACACAGAAAGCTAAGTGAGCTTAGTGATTGGAAAAAAATCTTTCACTCCTTTTGAGACAGCATGAAAAGTCAGCTGAGTACAAAACATAGAGAGGAAAACAACAAGAAAAGGGACAAGAAGAGAGGGACAAAATGTAGAACAATGCGTTCTCAGTTTAGAGGGCCCCCTGCCTGTCTTTGCCTAGGGCCCCAAATTTCTTAAATCTGCCCCTGCTTCGAACAAATGACTCTTTGAGGTGAATTGGAGGATATTTCAAGGTTTACCAGAAAGTGAATTAAGGTCAAATGTTTATGGCTTTGTTCCCTTTATCTCTGAGGAGGATTTAGGTTGCAAGATCAGAAACCAGTTTTAGGCACGCACCATATAACTGGATAAACATCGATATCTGTTGGATCTTTGGTTCACTTCAGCCTTGTTGCCGTTTATGTGTTTTGGGGAGGGTGTTGTCCAACTGGTGTCTTTTTGAAAGTGATAATGATGCAACACAGGATTGGGGTGATGTATAATTAGAGCAGAGAAGCAATTAACCTTCTCTGGTTGTGTTTGTAGGATATAAAATAGGAACGGATATGTATATAATACAGCTAGATCTTGGTTGTCGGTTTAAATTAGCATTGATGCTTCTCTTTTCAGTAAATAATAGACTTTAGAAAATCTCCTTTGCCCTGTAACATGTTATCAGCAGTTTCTAAAAAGACTAGACTGTGAATGAAATCGGTTAAGTATACCAATGATGTCCCAAAGCCTCAGCCTTTTAGAGTTATTAGTCATATTAGCAACAAACAATGAATGGGAAATGTTTATAAACACAGGTGTTGCAGGCAGACATGACTAGAAGGCTTTGATAGGATACCAGTTTAAAAAAGTACAAAACAAATATGCATTACTTCAGCTGTTTACATTTTTCGCTTGGGTCTATTCCCTTTTGCTCAGAAGCATACTTCTAATTTTCCCTGAAATGAGAGATGAGTATTAGTTTTATTTCTGTTTTTCTTAATTTGCGACATAAGAAAGAGAGAAACTCTACTTCCTGTTGTGCAGCTTTTTTAGATGGCTTCACAGCATGTTAGTTCATGGATAACCTTTGTTTATTGAGCTGTTATTTGTTGCCGCTGGTGTGAGACCAACGCTCTTCTCTTCAAAACAGCCATGGACATTATTCAGTGTCCATGTATCACATGTGTGCTTTTCCACATACTGATCCCTTGTTTCACATCAAAATCCAACCAGAGTTTGAGTTACAGAAAAGCAAAATCCTAACATCTGTCCAAAGTTCCAGTTAGCAGTTCAAAAACAGAGAATGCTTTTAAACACTGTATAAAGGTTGCTATGGTGACTCTAAGTCGTCACTACTTACTACAGGGAAACAGAAACTTTCTCGCAGCTACGTTTCCCTTAGTTTGGAGCTTTCTAAAATGTTCAGTCTGGTGGTAAACGGCAGAGGTCATTTTATTTAGCAGGTTTCCTGCATCTTTGTGGGTGGTGTTTATAAGCCCCTGGTCTTATGATGTTGGCTTCCAGCAGTGTGACGCAGGCAGAGCTCCTCAGTGGAACAGTCTTGTGATAAGGTTGAGCTTTTTTAAACAGAGATGGAACTTAAGGATGTTCTTACACTTTTAGGACCATGTGGGCTGGATGTGTGTGTGCTGCCTGCTGGGAAGGAGAACGGCAGATTACTTTATGGTGGAGAACAAATAGGGTTTTGTGGAGGGTGGATGGTCGTGAGTGGCTCTCTATCATGGGGATTCCCTCAGCATGTCCAGCATGTGATATTCAGTGTTGGTTCAGACATTTTGGTTCTCTTCCTTTATCAACCTGTAGGTTTGTTTTGGTAGAATCAGTCTATTTCCAATGTTTCTTGTTTTTTGTCTTGAGCTTTGTCTAATCTGATAATAATTTTTTTTGATGGAGCCTGACCTTTTTGTGCCTTTAATGGTCTTTCTTTTGGCTTTCTGAAGATCCCCCCTTTTGACTGCTTTTATAAATGTTCAATTTTATATTGCTTTTGGCCTTTCCTCTCTGAGGTCAGCGCCCTGCATTTCTCCCACTTATTGTCTTTCATCTTCAAATGTAAGGAAATCTACAGGGGTTGGACAATGAAACTAAAAAACCTGGTTTTAGACCCCAATAATTTATTAGTATGGTGTAGAGCCTCCTTTTGGGACCAATACAGCGTCAATTCGTCTTGGGATTGACATATACAAGTCCTGCACAGTGGTCAGAGGGATTTTAAGCCATTCTTCTTGCAGGATAGTGGCCAGGTCACAACGTGATACTGGTGCAGGAAAATGTTTCCTGACTCGCTCCTCCAAAACACCCCAAAGTGGCTCAATAATATTTAGATCTGGTGACTGTGCAGGCCATGGGAGATGTTCAACTTCACTTTCATGTTCTTCAAACCAATCTTTCACCAGTCTTGTTGTGTGTATTGGTGCATCGTCACCCTGATACACGGCACCTCCTTCAGGATACAGTGTTTGAACCATTGAATGCACATGGTCCTCCAGAATGGTTCGGTAGTCCTTGGCAATGATGCGCCCATCAAGCAAAAGTATGGGACCATGGGAATGCCATGATATGGCAGCCCAAACCATCACTGATCCACCCCCATGCTTCACTCTGGGTGGTACGCTTCTTTGGGGCTTCTCCACACCGTAACTCTCCCGGATGTGGGGAAAACAGTAAAGTTGGACTCATCAGAGAACAATACATGTTTTACATTGTCCACAGCCCAAGATTTGCGCTCCTTGCACCATTGAAACCAACGTTTGGCATTGGCACGAGTGACCAAAGGTTTGGCTATAGCAGCCCGGCTGTGTATATTGACCCTGTGGAGCTCCCGACGGAAAGTTTTAGTGGAAACAGGAGAGTTGAGGTGCACATTTAATTCTGCCGTGATTTGGGCAGCCGTGTTTTTTTTTTTTTTGGATAGAATCCGGGTTAGCACCCGAACATCCCCTTCAGACAGCGTCCTCTTGCGTTCACAGTTAATCCTGTTG